GGGCACTTGGGTGGCTCAGTCGGTTAAGCATCCGACTTCGGCTCAGGTCATAATTTCTTATGAGTTCAAGCCCCATGTTCTGAACTGTCAGCGCAGAGCCTGGAGCCTGCTTTGGAATCTGTGACTCCCTCTCTGCTCCTCCCCCGCTCGTGCTCTGTCTCTCTCAAAAAGTAAATAAACGTTAAAAAAATATTTTTAAGAAAAAAAAGAAAACATGTAAGTGAAAGAAGCTAGTCACAAAAGACCATATGTATGATTCCATTTACATTAAATCTCTGAAAGGCAAATCTATAGAGATATAACATAAAGTAGATTATTGAGAGCCTAGGGCTGATGGGGATAGGGGGAATATAAGATGACTGCAATGGGTTGCAATGGAGAGTAATGAAATGCTCTAAAATTGATTATGGAGATAGGTGTATACCTGTGAATATGCTGGAAGCCAATAAATTGTACCTTTTATTTTATTTTATCTATCTATCTACCTATTTATTTATTTATTTAGAGAGAGGAAAAGAGAGAAAGAGCATATGGGGAAGGGGCAGAGAGAAAGGGAAAGAAATGTTAAACAGGCTCCATACCCAGCACAGTCCATGAATTTGAGCCCCACATTGGGCTCTATACCAACAGCTCAGAGCCTAGAGCCTACTTTAGATTCAAACATGCCCTCTCTGCCTCCCCACTTGTACTCTCAAAAATAAAATTAAAACATAAAGAAAATTTATTATTTTTTTAATAATTTTTTAAAATTTAATGTTTATTTATTTTGAGAGACAGAGAGAGAGAGAGAGATAGTGCAAGCAGGGGAGAGGCAGACAGAAAGGGAGACACAGAATCTGAAGCAGGCTCCAGGCTCTGAGCTGTCAACACAGAGCCTGATGTGGGGCTAGAACTCACGAGCCATAAGATCATGACCTGAGCCGAAGTCAGATGCTCAACCGACTGAGCCATGCAGGCGCCCACTCCCAAAATTAAAAAAAAAAACAAAAACATAGGCAGTAATCTCTTGACATCAGCTGTAGAAACATTTTTATAGATATATTCCCTTTGGCAAGAGAAACAAAAGCAAAATTAAACTATTAGGACTAAACCAAATAAAAAGCTTTTGTACAACAAAGGAAACCATCAACAAAACAAAAAGAGAACACACTCAATGGGAGAATATATTTGCAAATGATATATCCAATAAGGGGTTAATACCCAAAATATATAAAGAATTCATACAATTTAACACTAAAAAAACCCAAATAATCCAATTAAAAATAGGCAGAAGACATGAACAGATATTTCTACAAAGAAGATATCCAGATGGCCAACAGACCCTCAAAAGATGCTCAACATCACTCATCATCAGGGAAATGCAAATCAAAACCACAATGAGATACTACCTCACACCTGTCAGAATGGTTGAAATCAACAACACAAGAAGCAAGAGGTGTTGGCAAGGATGTGGACAAAAAGGAACCCTTGTGCACTGTTGGTGGGAATTAAAACCAGTGCCATCATGGTGGAAAACAGTATGGAGGTTGCTCAAAAAACTAAAGATAGAATCACCATAAGATCCAGTAATTCCACTACTGGGTATTTACCCAGAGAAAATGAAAACACTAATTCAAGAAGACAAAAGCACCACTCTGTTTATTGCAGCATTATTTATTAATAGCCAGGATATGGAAGCAACTCAAGTATCCATCCATAGATGAATAGATAAAAAAGATATGGTACATATACACAATGCAATATTACTCAGCCATAAAAAAGAATGAAATCTTGTCATCTGCAACACATGGGTGGAGCTAGAGAGTATAATGCTAAGTGAAATAAGTCAGAGAAAGACAAATACCATATGATTTTACTAATATGTGAATTAAAAAACAAACAAACAAATAAGAAAAGAAACAAACAAAAAAAACAGACTAATACACAGAGAACAAACCGGTAGTTAGTTGCCAGAGGGGAAGTGGATTAGGGGATGGGTTAAAATAGGTGAAGGGGAGGGGCGCCTGGGTGGCTCAGTTGGTTGAGCATCTGACTTTGGCTCAGGTCATGATCTCGCTGTCCGTGAGTTCAAGCCCAGCATCGGGCTCTGTGCTGACAGCTCAGAACCTGGAACCTGCTTCAGATCCTGTCTCTCCCTCTCTCTCTTCTCCTCCCCTGCTCACGCGCGCTCTCTCTCTCTCAAAAATAAATAAACATTAAAAAAAATAAAAAATAAATAAAAAAAAAATAGGTGAAGGGGATTAAGGGCAGTGAGTAATGTACAGAATTGTTAAATCACTCTATTTTACACCTGAAATTAATATAGCATATGGTTAATATGTTAATAATACTAAAAATTTTTAAATAAATAAATAAATAGATTTTTAAATGGCATATGACTGAATTCTCATAGTTAGGTATAACGAAGTCATAAAAATGGTAGTTTTCTTTTAAATAAGGCTTTATAGCTAACAACTGTTTAACATCTATTATCTCAAGTGATTTTTTTCACAACTCTGAGGTAGTCAGTGTAGGTAGTGTTATCTCCATTTTGCAGATCAGAGAAGTGAGGCTCAAAGATCTACTTTTAGTCCAAGTTAACACATATAGTTCACTCCACCAGGAATTTTAAAGTTGTTTTTTTTGTGTTTTTTTTTGTTTGTTTTTTTTTTGAGAGAGACAGTGTGCATGCATGCAAGTTGGGGAAGGGCAGAGAGACAGAGATAAAGAATCCCAAGCTCTGTGCTGTCAGCACAGAGGGGCTCTATCTCATGACCTGTGAGATCATGACCTGAGCTAAGATCAAGAGTTGGATGCTTAACTGACTGAGCCACTCAGGCACCCCCACCAGGGTTTTAATTGTAAATCTAGTATTCTTCTATATTATGCTGAAAGGACTAATTCTCCGTCTCCCTTTTCTCTTCACTCGTTTTTTTCTAGTGCAGAACTTCCTTTCTCCTTTTTCATTGATATATTAAATATCAGAGAGCAAAAATAGAGTCAAAGGCAAGTAGAAATATAATCACTTTCTTTAACTCTGATTCCTGAGGAAATTGAGAGTTGGGAGAACTACCTAATGGGGGCAAATTTATGGCATTGTTTTCCCCAAATAATTCTATGGTTACTTCCGTTTAGACAAACCAACCCATGAGCAGAGAATAATTTTTAATATCTACTGTATAAAGTCTAATTGTATTTATTGGAAATGCATATGCATTAAAAGTCTCTGATGTGTTCTGCTTAGTTGTCAGGTCCAGTAACTACTTTCATTCCATATAGTTTTCTGTACTAAGGGTTTTGTCTAATTAAGTATGATGTCCTTAATCATTCATTAATATGGATTGATCTTTGGAAAGATCTCTATTTCTGAAAACAACTTAAGGTGAATCTTTTTATGTCTGTGTATCCTCACAGCAGTCCCCACATTAATTTCTCTACTCCAAGGCAGAGTGGGACAAATAACTATTACCTGAATTTTAGGAAGTAAAAGACGAAGGATTAAGAGGCACAGGCAAAAAACAGATATTGAGTTTCGGATTCAAACCTAAAGTTTGACTTATGATAGTATGGTACAAAGAACCCCAAACTAGGAGTTAAAAGACATGAGTGTTAATCTTGATTCCACCCCTTGGTTATCTGTGTAATTCTGAATAAGTCATCTTTACCTCTGATTATCCTTTTCCTCATCTTTACAATGGATTGAAAATACATTTGTAAAATATCTTGCCTCTTATTTCCCAAGCTTATGGTGAGGGTCAAATGACATAACATCTATGAAACTATAAAGCCCTATGCAAATATAAAGTAATACATGCATGTGTGTGTGTGTGTGTGTGTGTGTGTGTGTGTCCTCAGCTACTTTCCAATATAATTTGAGTTTGATATTTGATGGTCAAATTCAAGCTACTCAACAATTATTTTAAGTAAGTCACAGTATCTGAGTAAGTCATAGTCTCTAACTTGTAGGAATTCATAGTTAAGAGAGGACACAAATATTAAAAATAAATAATCATATAATAAAGGAATAAGGTAATAGAGGTATATAGCAAATTCTTTTACAGACCAACACAAAGGTAAATTAATCTTACATGAGGGCAAAGGGACAGATGTCAGACAGGAGATAACAACTAGGCTTAAAGGAAGAGGTTGAGTTGCTAGAATTTTATCTAGGTACATGGGGTTCACAATAAAACACACAAAAAAACCACAAGATCTGTGTTATAACTGGCTCTGCCTTCAATAATTAAAACTAGTACTTGAACTCTTTAGACTTCTCTTACCACAAGTCTAAAATAAAACGTTTACCTAAGATAAATTCCTAAGTCTTTCCAGCTCTAAAATTATATGATTCTATGAGTCAAACTCTGGCCATTGTACAGATATCAAGAAAGAGAATTCAAGAAAGTAATAAAATGGTCACAACTATTAAAAAAGGACATTTCCCACTAACTACTTTTTCTTGGAATTCAAAAGCCTGAGAATGATATTTATCTACCTAGAATAAGCTCTAACACAGTGAAGAGAGGAAATTGGAATGATAACAAGAAGCTGAGAACCAAACAATGCATGTGGATAGCAGGAAGTTAAGCATTCAGTTTAGCAAAGATGTTGCTTAGACCACTAAGGACATAGGCAGTAAATGAGAAGTTACAATGTTTTTATTCCTATAAACTAAAAAAAAACTTGGAATAAAATCATAACCAGATATTAAAATGTACTCTTTCATAAAATGAAGTAGTTATTTGTTTGAAGTTTTGCCTTGTTAAACAGCTTCATAAAAAACTATTTGTATAAAAGGTCTGTTTAAGAATTATAAAGAAAGGATCAGAAACCTAAATATACACAACTGAATTGGTTTCAGGAATGGTACCAAAAGTGAATATTGTCAAGTAATATACCTCACTAAACATTTATTAAACTATGTTTAAAAGTTCTGGTTGTTGCAAAGCATAGTCCCAGTACTCAAGGGGTTCACTGACCTACTATCAAGACTTTAAGGAAGAAAAAATAGTAACTCTTACCCATCAATCATATTTTCAGGAGGGTGTTTTTCATCACTTGATGTAGCTAAAATCACTTCCGCCCCCTCAGAGCTCAAACACAGGTCAATTTTTTTCATCTTAAAGTGTTTAATCTGCAAACGAAACAATAATAAAAATAGTAAATTCTTGATTCTCTGAACTTGATCTGAGAAAAGGAAGACAGAGAAAGCCTGTTGCCTAGCACACAGCTTAACAACCAAGCTATTCAACAAATGAAAGGGACTCTAACGTTTATTTACATAAGTAAACTTCTAACCTCTCCCAGCAGTAATCTGTAAGAAAATGATTATTTCTACTACTCTAACTCCACAAAACAAGACTGACTACTCTGACATCATTTCTCTGATTCTAAAATTAAAAGTCCTCAATAATGATATAGAACCAATTAACAAGCTAAAGTGGCATGAATTAATGGGTAAATTTTTAAATATTTTATTCTCAAATTAGTTAACATACAGTGTGGTCTTGGCTTCAGGAATAGAATCCAGTGATTCATACTTATATGTAACACCCAATCTCGTCCCAACAAGTGCCCTCCTTAATGCCCATCACCCATTTTCCCCATCCCCATCTACCCTGTTTGTTCTCTGTATTAAGGGTTTCTTCTGGTTTGCCTCCCTCTCTGTTTTTATCTTATTTTTCCTACCCTTCCCTTATGATCATCTGTCAAGTTTCTCAAATTCCACATGAGTGAAATCATGTGATACCTGTCTTTCTTCAACTGACTTATTTTACTCAGCATAATACCCTCCAGTTCTATCCATGTTGTTGCAAATGCCAAGATTTCATTCTTTTTCACTGAATTACTGAGTAAATTTAGAAAATTATTTATATTGTTATATTTCTGAAATTTATTTTTTTAATTTTTTAAGTTTATTTATTTATTTTGAGATAGAGACAGAGAGAGTGAGTGGGGGAGGGGCAGAGAGAGAGAGAGAGAGACAGAGAGAGAATCCCAAGCAGGCTCCGCACTGTCAGTGCGGAGCCTGACATGAGGCTCAAACCCATGAACCATGAGATCATGACCTGAGCTGAAACCAAGACTCTTAACCAGCTGAGCCACCCACCTGGTGCCCCATATTTCTGAAATTAAAAAAAATCTGGAACATGGGGCGCCTGTGTGTCTCAGTCAGTTAAGCATCCGACTTCGGCTCAGGACATGAGTGTGCGGTTTGTGAGTTCCAGCCTTGCATCAGGCTCTGTGCTGACAGCTCAGAGCCTGGAGCCTGCTTCAGATTCTGTGTCTCCCCCTCTTTCGGACCCCCGATGTTCATACTCTGTCTCTCAATAATAAATAAAAATATTAAAAACATTTTTTAAAAAAAAATCTGGAACATAAAAGCAGATGTTTTTGTGACTGTTTACCCATACATTTATCAACTGAAAATAGCAAACTACATTATTCACAACTTAAAAGGTACCTTACCATCATTATTTTTTTGATGCAGAATATAAAATAAGAGAGAAGACAAGCTTTTGCTTATTTTTAAATTCTACATCAGTCACTTGGGTCATGGGTTTCAAGACATTTCTATTATATGGTAATATTTTAAGTTTAATAGAAGTATCCTGAAAAGATATCACTGAGCTCTACTATGGATCCTGGTAGATAAGACAGAAGATGAGACAAGATTCTATCAGATCTCACTCACCTTTCTCCTTGATCTGGTCGTGACAGGGCACAAACCAATATGTAGATGCAAAGTGACTATGAAGCTGAATCTATAAAGAATTAAAAGACAAAGAGTGTTTGGAAAAAGGAGAAAAGCTTCCAATACCCTTCATACTCCAGCCTCAGTCTGATTTTTTTAAAAAGTGAAACTGTTTCAAATAAACAATCAACAAATTACAGAGAATATCACATATGTTAAATAACTATGTACCCACTGTCCAGATTTAATAAATATTAAAATTTTTGCCCATTTCTTTCCTTGCGCAAAGGTAACAGCTATTCTCAAGTTGATAAATACGCCTACTTACTATGTTTTTATACTTTTACCATATATGTATCCATAAATGACATGCACTGTTCTTTTAAAACTTAAATGCTTTCTCTCTCTCTCTCTCTATATATATATCCATATGCTATCCGCTTTTTTCATTCAAGTTTTTAATCGTGTTGATATATATATAAATCTACTTTATTCACTTCAACTGCTGTCAGGTCTTTCTCTATTTCTCTAATGATGAATATTTGGGTAAGTTTCCAATTTTTTGCTATTATTATAAACAAATTTGAAATGAGTATCTTTGTGTATGTATCCTTAGCACATGTGGGAGAAAGTCTTTATGATAAAAGTCTCTTTACAGAAGTAAAATGGCAGAAACTTAGAATCAGCATATCTTCAAGTCAATAACTGATAACTAGATGTCTAAATTTTAACAATTTACACTACCATCAACAATGTATGAGAGTTTCTGCTTCCTCATATTCTCACCAATTTGGTATTGTTAGATATTTTGGCTTTACCCAATCTCATCGGTGTGAAATGATATTTCAATAAGGTTATAATTCATATTTGTATAATTATTAGTGAGGTTGAATACTGTTTCATATGATCATGAGCCGTTTAGGCCTCCTTCCGTTATTTGCTCTTCCTTATCCTTTGTTCATTTTTCTATTGTGTTGCTTTTTAAAACTTTTGTCGTCCTTTGCTCTTTGATTTATGGGGATTTTTAAAATAAAATATTCTGGATACAAATCCTTTGTTATATTTGTTGCAAATATCTTCTACTCTGCAGCTTGATTTTTCTTTTTAACTTTGTGTGTGTGTGTGTGTGTGTGTGTGTGTGTGTGTGTACGAGTTTTCCCACCCCTGCTTTTTATTGCTTAACTATAACATATAAACAGAAGAGAACACAAATCAGAAGTATGTAGAGCAATAAATTTTCACAAAGTTAACACACCCAGGTAACCAACACCCAGGTAAAGAAATAGAATATTATCAGCACTTCAGAAGCCCTTTGCATGCCCCCTCCCAATCACTACCCTTCCCACCTTTCCAAGGTTAAGTATGGTCCTTATTTCTTACATTAATTTTGACTGAGATTCATATACATAGACTCATACAGTTTGTACTCATTTGTATCCGGCTTCTTTCATCATTGTTTTTGACACTTACCCATATCACTGTGTCATAGACTTGAAGTGCAACTAAGTAAAGATGCAATCCAGCCCCAACCCAGCTCAACCTCTAATAAAATCAAAGAAATCGTCCCCCAAGTGGAGCTTCACAGGAAGTTGGGTATGAACTGAAAAGCAAAGAAAGATTTCTGTGACCTTGGGTACTTAGATCCCAAAGCCCTGATGGAGGGGACTGATCTGAATTTAGAGGCAAACTGAATATCTGAAATTAGAGGTAAACTGAACTATTTATTTTTATTTTTTTTTAAGTTTATTTCTTTATTTTGAGAGAGACAGAGGCAGTGTAAGCAAGGGAGCAGAGAGAGGGAGGGAGGGAGGGAGAGAGAGAGAGACAGAGAAAGAGAATCCCAAGCAGGCTCCACACTGTCAGCACAGAGCCTGATGTGGGGCCTGAACTCATGAAATTGCGAGATCATGACCTGAGCCGAAACCGAGAGTCAGACGTTTAACCAACTGAGCTGCCAAGGCACCCTTGTAAACTGAAACTATTTAAATAAAACTATAACTCAGTCCAATCCTGAGGTGGACTAAAGTGATCTGCCCCTTATCCTGGCTGCTGGGCAAAGAAAATTGTCTCTCTGGGAAAAAGCATTATCTACTTCAGGATCTATTGTTCTTTTAAACACAACATCCAATATACAAAATCACTTCAGCGGATCTATAGATGACCCAAGTGCTGGAATTACCTAAGATAGCTATTATAAATCTGTTAGATAATTTAGTGAAAAGATGGACAAGGGAATTTTAGCAGAGAAATGGAAACTAAAGAAAAACAAAATGAAAATTCCAGAACTGAAAAGCATAGTAACTCAAATAAAGAATTTATTAGATAGGCTTAGCAACAGATTGGATCCAACATAATAATGGGTCAGTGAACTTAAAGATAGGTCAACAGAAATGATCCAAAATGAAATACAGAGAAAAAATGAAATACAACAGAGCATCAGATACTTGTGAGACATTATCAAACTATTCTGAAATACATGCAATTGGAGTCCCAGAAGGAGAGGAAAAACAATACTATAGAAGGAAAATCTGAGGAGATGTGGCTGAAAATTTTCCAAAATCTATGAAAGGCATAAACCGAAGATCCAAGAAGCTCTTGAATCCTAAGTTGGATAAACACAACAAAGAAAACCCCACCTAGA